TTTAGTTGATTCCTTAGAAGCAAAGGTATTGATTATCTGTTGTGTCTAACATGTGGTAGGATGGGGTTCAAAAGAAAAATAAAAAGGAGATAATATTTTGAATGTTTCGAGTTTAGTTTGAGGACACGAAATACTAAATTAAAAGAAGAAGAATAGTAAGTAAAATGATATCAATTAAGTATTTATTAAGTATTGAGATACACTGGTGAATATGGCACACATACTCCCTAACCTTCTTAGCATTTGAGTTTGAACTGAACTTTTATTTGTTTTGGTCTAAAAAAAAAAAAAAAAAAGAAAGAAAGAAATTTATCTACAGGAAGGTATAGCCATTTTGGGATGAACCTGTGAGTTCAAGATGGCAGTATTTAAGACCTCTGTGGATTATGTGTCATTTCTCATGTCTTTTAAATCATGGTGGTGATACTGATCTGCTGAACTGTAGTACTGCTCTGAAGCTTAATAAGCAAGTTAACAAAGTGTTATTCAAGGTCTCTTTATCACTATTATTACTTCCAATGATGGCTAGGTGTATGTGAAGTTAAAAGTATGAACTTTAACCCTCTATTTGCAGCAAAGTCTAAGAGACGCTGGCACTTTTCTTTTTTTAATGCTTTGTTACATAAATTTCTGTATCATCCGTACATTTCGGGGCAAGTCAGGTTGGAGTATGGAATGAATGCTAAGAAATCATTAGGGGATCACCTTACACAGCCAAAGGCTAGTCTCTTGAGGCCTTTTCCTTTTCTAAACACAGTACATTTACTGATTTCAGCAATTGCTTTTTCTTTGAGTTGGGATTTGGTGTCATGAATATAACACTTTAGTTACAACCACTAAAATCAATCAGCCTCTTAATTAGAACAGTAACCCATAAGACTTTGGTCTTTAAATAGAGCAAAAACCCTTGTGACTTTTGAGCTTTAGTTGATGTAACTTGGTTCCAGCTCTTACTGTGTTGTATGAATTGAGAAGTTAATCTCTAACATCGAGTCATCTGTTGTAAAAATCTATGGTGGTATATATTTTAGGCATCCTGTTGTCTGTTGAAAAGATAATAAAGGTAAATCTCATCGTTTTAGACAACTTGCTTCCTCTCAAGAACTTAGGACCAAACAGAAATCTAAGTTTACGTTGTTTTCTAGACTTTTATTCTCAAAATATTTCTTGCACCAATAATGCTCTAAAACTTTTTTGAAGTGTCACCTGCAAGATGATTTAATTGAATTATTTTGTGTGTATTTTACAATGCTCTGCTTTATCAGGGAAGCATATTAACATCAATAGTTATTATAGCCCATAAGCTACTATATTTGACACGTTTGAATTGGTCTTACTGAAAACTGTATATTGGGGTGCCTGGGTGGATCAGTCGGTTGAATGTCCAACTCTTGATTTCGGCCCAGGTTGTGATTCCAGGGTCATTGGATTGACTCCTGCTTCAAGCTCCAGGCTCAGGATGTACCCTGCTTAAGATTCTCTCTCCCCACCCCCCTCCCTTGCTGGCACACACTCTCTCTTTCTCTCTCTCAAATAAAATTTTAAGGGTGCCTGGGTGGCTCAGTCACTTAAGCATCCAGTCAGTTAAGCGGCTCAGATCATGATCTCAGAGTTCATGAGATTGAGCCCTGTGTTGGGCTGTGTGCTAACAGCATGAAGCCTGCTTCAGTTTCTCTGTCTCCCTCTCTCCCTGCCCCTCTCCCACTTGCCCTCTCTCTCTCAAAATGAATAAAATTAAAAACTTTAAAATAAAATTTTTAAAAATTTTAAAAAGGAAAAAACTGTATAAAGGACTTTTTAGGGTTCTTTGGAACCTAAATACTTTAATACTAGGGAGTAGTGTTTGCTGGCTGGTCAGCAGTGAGTAATAATTCAGCAGTCATGCTGTTTTGCTTGTCAGACCCCCAGCAGGCTCCTACATCCTAAGACTTGCTCAGAATTTCTTTGTAGACTTATACAGTGGCTGACTGTGGATTCCTTTCTTTTTAGAATTTAGTTGTTTGCTGGAAATTGAGCTTTTGAATTTTGTAGGTTCTTTGTCCTCCTCATTTGAAAAATATTTAAATGATCTTGCTCAAAGGGCACACAGAGAAACAGCATGACTGACTTACGGGAAATTAGTAAGCAGTAGGGTTATTTTTAGCTTTTACTCCTTGCAAACATTTCCTTTTGTTCTTTAGAAGACATTGTTGATCTGTTCATTCATTTGCTGCACTCTCTCCCCCCACCCCCACCATGATTTGGGGCAGAATAAGTCCTCTCTTCTCTACTCTGCATGACATAACTGTGTTATATTCTTATTTTATTCAATTGCAACTCATGAGTTATTCATTTGTTCATGTTTTTCTAGGTTCTGAAATACCACCACCACCACCTCCAACCACACACACAATTTGTTGTTACTTGGAGTTGAGGTGTACCCTAATCTGCAGTGGCTGCCTGAAAAATATTCACACAAGCAAAATATACAAAATGTATATTTTTCTCAAAATATTTTATAGTGGTAGCTGATGGTGTATTTGCCTTTATTTGCTCTGTTAATACTTACTTAAAAACTATAATCTTTAGAAAATCATGCAATTAGTATTACAGAATCAGTCCCTAGTCCAGGGTAGATGGTTATAAAGGCTGACCTTTACATCCAGCCTCATGTTTGACCCTTGAAACAGACAGCTTCCAGTATATAGAGGAAGTAGGATTTCTAAGGAAATAGAACTGAAACCTCACTTTTGCTCTGTTTTTAAAGTCGGTTTTGATAAAAGACTTTGCTACTTTAAATAACTTCCAAGAGGATTTAGTTATTTTGTAACCTCATAATTTAAACTTCCTTTTTTTTTTTTTTCATTTTTCTATAAGGTAGAGAGGAATTATAGCAATTGTGGTTCCAACTGTGGATTCAGGGGCCAGGAGGGTGCCTGGGTGGCTTAGTCAGTTGAGCATCTGACTCTTGGTTTCGGCTCATGTCCCACAGTTCATGGGTTTGGGTCCTGCATCAGGTTCCATGCCAACTAACAGTTGCAGAGCCTGCTTGGGATTCTCTCTCTCCCCTCTTTCTGCCCCTCCCCTGCTCTCTCTCTCTTTCAAAATAAATAAATAAAAACTTTTTTAAAAAAACCTGAATTCTGGAATCAGACTATCTGGTTGCAAATCCTAGTTCTACTGTTAATTTCAGTATGTTTCAATTTCCTTATCTCAAAATGAAGATTACGGTATATACTTCATACAATTATTTTGGAATTTGAATCAGATAATCCAGGTAAAGGGCCTAGCATAATGCCTAACATGGTAAAGTCTCAATAGATATCCACTATTATCTGATTATTTTATCAGATTTTTTAAATCTAAATGTAGGATAGTTGTTATTTTAGATTATGTACCAGAAAGAGGCAAAATATTCAGTTTTCTGGAACCCTTGCCTCTTTTCTATAAGAATTTTTTATTAGGATGTCCTCAAACACAGGTGGCCTAATTCCAGCATCTAGTGAGTTTCATTCCCTTTGGCCCTTCAGTATTTGCAGCTCTTCATATCTAGAATCAGCGCAATTATGATAGGAAGTCAAGCAAAACATTTTTTTGCATAAAGAGAGGAAGGCAGAATGTGAAATGGCATTGACATCTGTGCTTCTGCCCTGGGCCAAAAGCAGAATCGTTATTTGCTGCTGATTTGGCATCCCATCTGCTGCCTTCTCCAGTGCTTAAGCCCTTCTTCCTTTCTCTTCCCCTCAGAGCCCCAGGGATGATGAAGTCAGGGAGGGACTGGGATTGTAACACATCTGAAGAAGGAAACAGGACAGAGGTTCAGGGAAAAACAACAGAAAGATAACCCCATTCTGCAGATGAGCCAGTTGGTTTAATGCAAAGTCTTCTCTGTCAATGTCAATTTTACACAAGTTCTGTGTACAGTGTGAAAGGCAGAAAATATCAGCTTGTTCTAGTGAATTCCCCTTTTTTTGATCAAGAGCTTTTCTGACATCAGATTCAACAATTTGCTATACTTCAAAAAAAATTTTTTTTTAACTTTTAGACCACACCCTGAGAGTAAGCCCTTTATTTTTCCAAGGGATGCTTTAACTTCTGATATATGCTTTGTTTGTCCAGAAAGCTCTCCCTGCATTTAAGTTACCCTCTTGCCAACTGATCCACACTTATACTTCCCCCTGAAGTGGCTTCTTGTTTTAACCTCTTCTACCCTGAGAGGTACAACTAGGCTTTCTGCAACATAGTTATCTTAGAATCACGTACTTAAAGTTCAGAACACAAAATATAACATGCAAAGGGTATCTGCAGTGTTGTAATTTAACTCTTTGATTTTGATTAAAACTTGAATAGTTAAGGAGCGCCTGGGTGGCTCAGTTGGTTGAGCATCTGACTTTGGCTCAGGTCATGATCTCAAGGCCCTGCATCGGGCTCTATGCTGACAGCTTGGAGCCTGGAGCCTACTTCAGATTCTGTGTCTCCCTCTCTCTCTGCCCCTCCCCTGCTCACACTCTGTCTATCTCTCTCTCAAAAATAAATAAACATTAAAAAAAACTTTTTTAACTTTAATAGTTAAACAATAGAGTGATGAGTGCTCCAGAAAGGCATGTTTTGAATAAACAAAATGAAGCACATGAAATAGATAAGTAAGGAGAAACTGTCTTAAATCTATTCATTTTTAATGGAAAAAATTTTTTTAATATTTTTATTTCCAAAGCTTAGGGCTTGTTTTAACTCAGTCTGATTTTTTTTTTTCATTTATGATTTCCTGATGATTGTTCCAAGTTTGCTATGATTTAAAAGAATGAAATATTACTTTAACATAGAGTACTTGGGGGTTATTTTTCAGGCTGCTTGGTACTGTGTTTTGTTTTTATTTAAATTTGAAGTTATCCTAACCCTTTATTCAAACAGGTAGTTGACTCTGATTCTGACTCAAGTTTTACAGAGTCTTAATTATGATTCATCACATAGGTAGTTTTCATTCAGTGCTTTAAAAAAAGACCTTTATGTTTATTTTCTAGACTGATTTTGCTCGATTTAGTGGAACAAATGTGGAAACTGACTTTGTAGAGGTGCCATCACAAATGCTTGAGAATTGGGTATGGGACATCGATTCCCTCCGAAGATTGTCAAAACATTATAAAGATGGAAGTCCTATTATGGATGATCTGCTTGAAAAACTTGTTGCTTCCAGACTGGTCAACACAGGTATGACTTGTAATTTTAGAAAAGGAAAATACATTAGAATTGCTTTAATAGACAATGGCTGGCTTCTTGTTCTATAGAACTTATTTCCCTTGTGATCATGGTATTACCCTAAGAGTGCTAATATGGGGAGGGGAGACTGCTAAATATCCTGGGAATGTGTCCAAGAAAAAAAAATACATCTTCTTTTAAATCTTAAATGAGGTATCTTACTCCCATTTTGTAATATGTACTATAGGCGTCAGTTTTTTAAATCTTTGATCTTGTGATATTAGAACACGTAGTTCTCTCTTCTCCAAAACATGCCCAAACATTCTTATGCTATTAGGTCTTCTGACCTTACGCCAGATTGTTTTGAGCAAAGTTGATCAGTCTCTCCATACCAACACGTCGCTGGATGCTGCAAGTGAATATGCCAAATATTGCACAGAGATTTTAGGTGTCGCGGCAACTCCAGGTATGTAAGCACTATGACCTGAATTCATTTTCTTCAGTGAAGTACAGGCTATCCTCCTAACACTGCCAGGAAACATAGGGTTTGTCAGGCAGCTCACCTAATGTATATTTGTTTCTGATTTCTATAATCAGGCCATGGCTTTCTGATAAGCTTACTATGTCCGTATGACTTATCCTGTCCAAGTGTGTTTAAAGGAAAGGTGGCTCCAGCTTTGCAGCATTTTAGTGTAATCAAGAATGAGCAATTGGCCTCCACCCCAGAGCAGAGAAAGCCATTCGCATTTGGCAACAGCCACCTGGCTCCTCCCTCCGTACGTGTGCCCTGACTTCCTAGTGATTTCACTGAGAAATTGGCAAACGGGGAAGTTTTAGAGAGACGTACAAACTTCTACCTTGTTTCTGATTTTGGTTCTGAGATCAGTTAAGGAATTCCAGCTAGCCTTTTCTAGCCCAGTATTTATGAGATTCATGTGGGTAGGTGGGCAGGTACACACGTGACTGTGTTTACATTTGTATTTATATATTTTAAGCCAACATGTAGTTGTTCATGTATACATAGTTGGCAAGGTGACTTTTTTCCACCAAGGAAGTTGTTATTTAAATGAACCTGTCACATTTATAGTGATAATAAAGGTCAGAAGAGTCCAATGGAGTCAATCCAGGCTCCTCACTTACTTTTGTGATCTGTTTATAGTAGACCATACAACAGTTTTGTCCCTGAGACCAATTTGACAAAATCCTTTTTATTTTTGTTAAGTTTATTTATTTATTTTGAGAGAGAGAGAGAGAGAGAGAAAGTGGAGGTGGGGAGGGGCAGAGACTGAGGGAAAGATAATCCCAAGCAGTCTCCACGCTATCAGAATCCAAGACACGGGGCTCCATCTCACAAATGGTGAGATCATGACCTGAGCCTAAATCAAGAGTCGGACGCTTAAACTGACTGAGCCACCAGGCACCCTGAAAAAATCCTTTGTAAAAATAGCCCTAGAGGTATTAAATAAAGAGTTCTTCAGTAATTATGAACCTAAAGTAAGTGCCGTTCTGACACATTTTAGATGCAAAGCTGTGTGACAAAGAGTGGGCTTACTATTAGAGTATCTATAAGACACATATGTGTCTAAAGGATTAGAAAGGACTGAGTAGTCCTGAAATACTGAGCTATCTGATGGGTGTGGACAAAGCCTCTGAAACTATTGTTAGACATTCCAGAACTTAGGGCCGAAACCAGCTCTGAAGTTGAGTCATCATAGCAGAGAAGTTTGTAAACATCTTGGCCAAGGGCACATGTAAACCCAGGGAGTACCGCAGGTAAGATCCTGCTTGTTGCTGGAGACTGTCACTCTCCAGTCTCCGGACTCCCCAAAGGGAAACCTTAGCCAGCTGATAACCTGATAATTAACATTGGCCATCACATTGATTGAAATGTATCTTTCTTTAAAGGCACAAATATGCCAGCTACTTTCGGACATTTGGCAGGGGGATATGATGGCCAATATTATGGATATCTTTGGAGTGAAGTATTTTCCATGGATATGTTTTACAGCTGTTTTAAAAAAGAAGGCATAATGAATCCAGAGGTATTGTATTTTCTTTTCTCCTTTTGTTAATTTCGTCATTCCCAGTGTAAAATATTTATTACACCTAGATTTTAGCGTAAGAGATTTGGTAACAGCTTTTAACTTGAAAATCTTGAATCTTCTCAAATCATCCATCATTAAGTTGCAGTGCACAAGTGATGAACTCTAATTCTCTAAGTTAAAAAAAAAAAAAAACTACCACATTTTCTTGCTGATTAACATTCCAATATATTGCATAATTAAAATTCAAAGCTTTGTTTATGCATTTGAGCATTTATAGCTGCTAGTTTTGACATGTGCCATACAATGCTTTAGTTTTATAGGAGGTTGGGAAAGAAAGGTAAACTCTTTCTTGATGTTAATGGTCTAGGTATGTTTTCACATTCTCTACACAGTTTCTTTATACATTTTCTATGGGAGGTACCCTTTCTCTGTGACTGGCATACCCCACCTCCTACATAGTTTGTAACCGAAATGCCTTTAAGTAATTTAGGCTGCTTCATTAACCTGAGCCATTCCTTTCTGTGTACAGTGAATTGGCTGCCAGGTGGCTACCAGCCAAACCTTCCTGAGTTATAGTCCCCTAGTCTCCACTCTTGTTGAAGACTCAGCTGTCAGATTATTTCCAGGCCTGATGCATTTTTCAGTGTGCTTCTCATTCTATTTGATTCAGAAATTAGAAGAGCAAGTTACCAAATTCAGGTTCTCTGTGCTTATTTCAGCCAACCAATTTCTTCCCCCCAACTTTATGTTTCTGGATTGCATAGTGCGTCACACACATATACTGAAATTCATTGCTATAATTTTTTTTTTAATGTTTATTTGTTTCTGAGAGAGACAGAGTGAGAACACAGCAGGGGAGGGGCAGAGAGAGAGGGAGACACAGAATCTGAAGCAGGCTCCAGGCTCTGAGCTGTCAGCACAGAGCCCAATGCAGGGCTCAAACTCACGATCCCTGAGACCATGACCTGAACCGAAGTCGGATGCCCAACTGCCCAACCAACTGAGGCATCCAGGCGCCCCACATAGCTGTAATTTAGCCCACCATCCCCTTCTTCACACCCCCCCTGCAAAACAAAACAAAACAAAACAAAACACCTCCAGGGTACCTACATTATCTACACTAACCTTCCCAATCATTCCTTCTTCCATCCTACCCTACCCAGGCTATTAGGTCACTGTAAGTCTCCTTCCATTCCCTGGCCAACCTATTACAATGGTCAGCCACTGACTGTTCTCATATATGTCTTGACTTCTGTATGACCCTTAGCCAAGTACCCAGCCCTGGATTCCTCTACCATCTCACTTAGAGATGGTGCCCGTGGGATTCAGAGCTTTCCGGGGAAGATTGTGTGACTCCATTAACATGTCCCACTACAAAATCGTGCTATCCAACCTGTAGTGGACACCCAGTGTTACTCTGCTGTCCTGTCCCACTTCCCTTATTGAGATCCCCTGAGTCTCAAATCCTCTCTCCTCTCCACTAAGAAAGTTACGGTCATCAAGACTAAATATGTCATTTTTGTTCTCTTTCTGTACTTCAGTATTCACCTTCTTTCCCTCTGTCTGAAAGATGTGTCTAACACCAAGCCTTAATGTGTCTTGACAAAAACTGGGATTATTGCTACTGCCTCTGGTAACCCTGTTGCTATTACTCAGTTCTCCTTCCTTTCACAGCCTAATTTCTTGGTGTAAGGAGCCGTCCATGCAAACCTCTATTTTGCCTCCACCAACGGAACTAGAAAATTACTCTCTCTCGAGTGACCACTGATGACCCAGTTGCCAACTTCCAAAGGCCCTCACCTACCCTTTTGTTTTTACTTCCTGTTTCTTGCTTTCCTCTCCTTGTTTACAGTCCTTAGCTTAGCCATCACATGTCTTCCTTATTTCCCAGAATTCAGTGTGTCAGCCAGATTTATGTGTTCCCATAGGTCTTTGCACCTTCACAAATACGATCCTTCTATTTCTTCCACCTAAAAGGTGTGACTTTCTTGTCTCTACCTCTTAAAAATTTTAACATTCTTTTAAGTTTATTTATTTGTTTTGAGAGAGGCAGCATGCACGAGCAGGGGTGGGACAGAGAGAAGGAGATGGAGAATCCCAAGCAGGCTCCACACTGTCAGCACAGAGCCCCACATGGGGCTTGATCTCACAAACCGTGAGATCATGACCTGAGCTGATATCAAAAGTCAGATGCTTAACTGACTGAGCCACCCATATACAGCTTCAATCTTACCATTCTTAAAGGCCCTAGTCACATGGCTGGCTACTCGCTTATGAAATCTTCTAGATCATCTGAACCAAAAGTGGTATTTCCATTTTTTGAAGAAAAGAATGGACTTGAGGGAAGTGTGAGGGAAGGATTTCACCAAGCTTTTTCTTATGTCTGGAATGTTTAATATAACTATAACACAAAGTGAAAAAAATCAGGCTATAAAATATTTTGTACCATAGAATGCAAATTTTTATTTTAAAATACATGTTTAGAAAAAGAGTACATCAAAATGTCCATTCTTAGCTTCGAGTGATAATTTCATGAGTGATTATTAAATATTTTTCTGTGATTTTTATGGAGCTTTTCCTTATTTTTTACACAGAGCATGCATTATTGCAGAAATCAGAAAACAATGATTATAGAGACTCCAGGTCTACTTATATAAAGGTGCAATTATGACCTGTTACTGACTCTTATAAGTTGGTGACGCTTCCTAGCATAAGTGCCACAGTACCTTTTTCAATTAAGCTTCCTCACTCATCTCCTCTGTGTTTCCACTTACACAGCCACATCTCCAGTACCTTCCGCTGTTACCTCTTCTTTTCCATCTGTCAAGGTAACAGCCCATGTACTGATCCCAGTCGGCCCCAAGGAACTTGCAAGTCCAGCAGACGCAGTCCCTGCCATTATGCTTCTGTGTACTTCCTCTTACTCTCAAGCTTCACAGCTTGGCAGGCAGCCAGACTACTTTTATTTTAGATCAGGGGCCTGGGGTGAACTTGGAGAACACAAGACTCCCAACAACTTGGAGTTGTTGCCTTGTAATGTAAAACACAATTTTCAGTTTCACTAAAATTCTGGGTTCAACATTGCAATATATTATTCATCTTACGCCATGAAGCTAACTTTAATCCCTTCCTTTTTCTTCCCTATCAAGTATTCTGGGATATTATAGCGTTTCTTGCTCCCCTTTTGTCACAACAGTAGTGAATCGGGCTCCAGTGACCAAGGAGAATCCCTTTGCACCCCACTCTCACACTCTTCACTGCAGTGGCAGAGACTAGAACAGCTTTTTAAATAGCCACTTTGTTCCCTCTACAGTATACTGTTTGTTTGGTTCACTTATTTTTAAGTTTTACAAATGTTTGCTCTAAAGTAATACCTGATTTACAAAATTCAAATACCCACTTATTAAAATGTAATACTTTGAGACAGTTATCCTGTTCTAAGAAAAATATTTGGTCATTACAGCTACGTTGTGATGAAGAGAAAGAATTTTTTTAAGTTTGTTTGTTTGTTTGTTTGTTTGTTTATTTATTTATGTTTAGTAATCTCTGTACCCAAATGGGGCTCAAACTCATAACCCCGAGATCAAGAGTCACATGCTTCTCCAACTGAGCCAGCCAGGTGTCCCGAAAGAATTTTTATAGAAATACTGAATTTGATTTGAAGTCAAGGGTATCAGAGCATTCACAATATATCACACAGACCCTGTTGTCTCAAGGCTCCCTGTCTCCCTCGTATGTTTTTTCCCTCATCACTAAAATTCTGCTGTATTTTCCAGAATTACAAAGTTTCTGGTAGATAGGGACCAGTTATTACTGCCCAGCACAGGGAGGTAAAAAGACTCTTTCCTAAAACCATTGTGAAAATTCTGTATTAGCAAGGATAAATAATAGGCTCTAGAAATGTTCAGTAATAAACCACAACAAAAGCAAGCAAATAAAAGGACACCTTGAAAGGAAGGAGGATTAGAGTGTCTTAGATTTCTTAATAAGCATCACAATTGAGTACATATTGGTGCCATTATATCGATGTAAAGTTGACACCTTTTTTTTTTAATTGAATTGTAGTTGACACATCATGTTACATTAGTTTCACCTAGTATGTATTTGAATGATTTTTTTTTTTTTAATTTTTTTTTTTTTCAACGTTTATTTATTTTTGGGACAGAGAGAGACAGAGCATGAATGGGGGAGGGGCAGAGAGAGAGGGAGACACAGAATCGGAAACAGGCTCCAGGCTCTGAGCCATCAGCCCAGAGCCCGACGCGGGGCTCGAACTCACGGACCGCGAGATCGTGACCTGGCTGAAGTCGGACGCTTAACCGACTGCGCCACCCAGGCGCCCCTGAATGATTTTGAGAAGATAACTGGATGGCCCTTCAGGGAATCAGTGTCTGCTATTCTTCATCCCCAAAATCTGTAGAGAGGCTGGAGACTGAAAGATCACGTACTGTTGACATTATTGTCCTGGTCATTGGTATCAACAAAAGAACATCTCCAGGCCTTCTCTCTATAACCTCTTGCCATCCTGCAAAGCTCAGGGTCTGCTTTGAGAAACATTCCAGGTGTTAGCAAGCAGAACTATAGAAAGTGCACTACTCACTGGGAAAACAATAATAGGAAGGGTCAAATATAAACCTAGTCTTTTTTTTTTTTTTTTTTTTTTTTTTTTTTTTTTAAGTAATCTACACCCATTGTGGGGCTTGAACTCACAACTGCAAGATCAAGAGTCAGATGCTCTACTAACTGAGCCAGCCAGGCACCCCAAACCTGTAGTCTTCTGAATACCTAAGGTAGCAATAGCATATTTTTATGGTACAGTGGTTTTCATTCTATTTTGAGGGCCTCTATCTAAGTGTTAGAATTGGCCAATTACCTATAATAGCCACAGTTTGCTATTTCTGGTTTTATTTGTGATTTTCTCTTTTCTTCATTATAAATAGTTAGACTATCTTCATTATTTAATTTGTTCATTAAACATATCCTAAAATCTTTGTTTC